GAAAGGGGAAGAACAAAAAAAGACGTAACAATACGATTATATTGTTGAAGATAACATAATAAGAGAAACATCTATAAATGAATGGTGAATGGTTAGAAGAAATAAATGTGCTAGACATCAAAGGTCATATAGCACCATGGTAGAGTATTGTGGCAAAAAGGGTAAAAATGAGTTCAGGGATTAGGATAAGTGGACAGGAGGAAGAGATGAAGAAAAGAAGGAAAAGGGAAAGGGGAAGAACAAAAAAAGACGTAACAATACGATTATATTGTTGAAGATAACATAATAAGAGAAACATCTATAAATGAATGGTGAATGGTTAGAAGAAATAAATGTGCTAGACATCAAAGGTCATATAGAACTAAGGTAAAGTATTGTGGCTAAAAGGGTAAAAATGAGTTATGGATTAGGAAAAGTGGACAGGAGAAGAGGATGAAGAAAAGAAGGAAAAGGGAAAGGGGAAGAACAAAAAAAGACGTAACAATACGATTATATTGTTGAAGATAACATAATAAGAGAAACATCTATAAATGAATGGTGAATGGTTAGAAGAAATAAATGTGCTAGACATCAAAGGTCATATAGAACTAAGGTAAAGTATTGTGGCTAAAAGGGTAAAAATGAGTTATGGATTAGGAAAAGTGGACAGGAGAAGAGGATGAAGAAAAGAAGGAAAAGGGAAAGGGGAAGAACAAAAAAAGACGTAACAATACGATTATATTGTTGAAGATAACATAATAAGAGAAACATCTATAAATGAATGGTGAATGGTTAGAAGAAATAAATGTGCTAGACATCAAAGGTCATATAGAACTAAGGTAAAGTATTGTGGCTAAAAGGGTAAAAATGAGTTATGGATTAGGAAAAGTGGACAGGAGAAGAGGATGAAGAAAAGAAGGAAAAGGGAAAGGGGAAGAACAAAAAAAGACGTAACAATACGATTATATTGTTGAAGATAACATAATAAGAGAAACATCTATAAATGAATGGTGAATGGTTAGAAGAAATAAATGTGCTAGACATCAAAGGTCATATAGAACTATGGTAGAGTAGAGTAGCGAAAGGAGTTAGGAATGAGTTAATGATTAGGGTAAAATTACAGGTTGAAGAGAAGGGGAAGGAATTAAGGGAGTAGGGAGCATTATGATAAAGTATTGTGGAGAAAACGGCAAACGTGAAAATAACGATATGGATAAGTGGACAGAAAGCCTCAGTCCCTGTCTCCTAAGTCCCCCCCCCTCCCCCATGATGACAACAATGAGCAAGGTATTTTGGTGGAATAGGTAGAAAGAGAAAAACCTCGTCGGCGTTCTTGTTGTCTGGCCTCACGTAGAGTGAGGAGGCCTAGTTTGAATCTGAGAACTGCTACCTCAGATTCGAGCTTGTAGGCAGGGCAGCTCTTATAGCATATATCATGAGAGCCACCACAATTGACACAAGTGTGTGACTGAGCAGAGCAATTTGAAGTCATGACCAAGTTGGGCACATAGAGGGCAGCAGGCTGTGGAGCGACAGTGCTTGACTGGGTGGCCAAAACGCAAACATTTCTGAGATTGACGAGGAAGGGTACTCCAATATAAACTTCATGGGAGAGGTCATGTGCACAGAAGATAACCTTGGGAAAATTGGTGTAGGAATTTTGTTGGCCTCTGGGAGGAATAGCGTAGCATTGGACTGCCACTGCATCAAAGTCGTCCAAACTTGCAAGTCTAACTAATCCTTGTCGTAGACAGGACAATCAGTCGAGGATGGTTAAAACATAAAAAAGTGTTAGACATTAAAGGTTATATAGAACTATGGTAAAGTAATGTGGCGAAAAGGATAGAAGTGGGTTAATAATTAGGATAAGTGGGCAGAAGGGGATGAAGAAGAGAAGGAAAAGGAAAAGGAGAGATGAAAATACCAAGCAAAATTAGTTGAGGTGAGGGCTGTTGGGAGATGATGGGGTGTATTCTGAAGATTGAGTAATGACATGTGTGGATGATTCGGGATGGATTGAGCTGTCAGAAAACATCGAGGAGGGATTATTAGTATCAGTGGTTGGAGCCATGATCAGAGGAGAGACCAGTGAAATCAAATTTAGACTGGCTAGTTGAAGGGGCAAGTGTAGTGCTCTTACTAAGGGTAAAAAATCTTCATTATTGGCCAGAGTGAGCCTGAAATAAGTGGGGAGAAGAAACGGTCTACCTCCCAGGGTCCCCATAAAAGGTAAGGGTTAGGCGATTAACCAAGGGAATACTGTGCTCATGACCATTCTGACCATTCAGAATGATACAAAGCCAGACTTCCATCGTTTCGGCACAGCTCACTTTTGGAAGTGGACAGAAGAAAAGGAAAATGGTTAGTGGTTAAAAGCAAAATAAATGTGTTAGACATCTAAGGTCACGTAGAACTATAGGAAGGTACAGTAAAGGGTAGTGAATGGCGGTTTAGTTGGTAGTTAGTTTCTGTGTCAATTATCTAATTAATAATGAAAAGGTTAAAGATGGGTAAAGGAGTTAATGAGTGAATGAGTTAATGTAGGGTTAGGTAAGGGGTATTAGATCGAGTGAAGGGTATAGATGCGTCTGAGGAAGGAGAAAAAGATGTTAGAGCAGAAAGTGTTAGATTCCGTATGGATGTCCGATACGTTGGGAGGTCGGTGAAGGGAGGATAGGTGGAGGAAAGCAGAGGTACAGGCTGCATCAAAGCGTGGACAGGACAACATAATGCGGGGAATTGCAAGAGGGGCATTACAGTGGGAACATTGGGGTGGATCAGAAAGGCGTTTTCTGATGTATAAGTTTGGAGGCAAATAATGGATGGGTTATAAGAAGAAGGGATATGACGAAGGTCAGGTCTGTGAGAACGGAAACAGCGAATATTCCAATGTAGGAGAGCTATACTTTAGTTGATATACGAGTGATAACGGTTGCAGTGGAGAATTTGAAGGGGAAGGATCTAGGGGTGAGATAAGGAATGAGAGTGGGAAGGTGGTGTTGCATCAGAAGGTGTATCAGGAGGTGGAGGATCTGGGGAAGGGTTTAGTTGTGACATAAGGGATTCATGTGTATCCAGAAGGGAGTGGAAGGGATAGAGGGGAGGGAGGGAGGGTTAATGTAGGTGGAGCTGGAGCTAGTGGGATGGGCTGTGTTAGGAGGGAGTAGGAGGAAGGGGTGTAGGGGGAATGTGAGTAGGAGGAGGGTGGATATCAGCAGTAACTTTGAGTGGGGAGGGAGTGGGGGTTGTGGAATTTGAGGGTGGATGAGGGGTTTCTGTGTCAGTCTGGGACTCAAGTAGTTTTGAATGTCTTGAAGTCTCTGTAAAGGCTGCAGTAGAGATTGGGGTGTCTGGATTTAGAATGACAAAATTATTTGACTGAGGAAGGTAGGGGGTAGAAGTGTGGAAGTAAGCTGTAGGAGGGATAGGTATAGGGTAGAGTATAGCAACATCTTGGGAAGGAGGGGGAGGGGCAGAGCAAGTGACATTACTGGAGTAGGGAATAAGAGAAAAACCTCGTCGATGTGCTTCCTGTCTGGTTTCATGCAGAGTGAAACCAAGTCTGAATCTGAGAGTTACCCACCTCCGACTCAAACTTGTAGGTGGGGCAGCCCCTATAAAATACATTATGGGGGCCTCCACAGTTGGCACATGTGCGTGAACAGTTTGATCGGTTATGGCCAGGTTGGGCACATAGAGGACATCAGGCTTTGAAATGGCAGTGTTTGGCAGGATGTCCTAAATGCCAACAATTTTGACACGCGGAGAGGTTAATATGGTCAGACAGAGAGGGATTCTCCACCAATGTAAACTTTAAAGAGAAGGTCATGTTTACGGAAAGTAATTTTGGCAATGTTGGTGAGCTTCTTACAATGACTCTTAGGGGGAATGGAGTAGTACTGTACTGATATCGCATCATAGTCTGTGAGGCAGGCGAGTAAGTCTTCTCTACAGTCTGACCATTTTTTGTTATAAATTAGGCAGTTTGCTGGGGATATAGAGACAGTTACAATACAAGTATTGAGGGTTGGATGAGGTTCTGCAGGAATGGGGTTGCCAGGAAGATCAGTTAAGAGTTGATAATGCTATAGCTTGGTTTTATGAAACTGTAACAAGACAAGAACGATTGGGCCGGAAAGAGACTTTGCCTACTTGTTTTAGGAGATATTGCTGGACGAGAAGAGTATTGTCAGAGTAAGGAACTGTGAGAGGGGGGGGGAGTCACGGGCTAAATAAAGTATTTTAGATAGTTGTAGAAATGGGGTAGTAGTAGAAGTGTGGGGATGTGTGGAAGAGGGAGTAGTGTTGAGGGAGGTATTGTTACAGAGGTGAACTATAAGGCTGTTAAGTAGTAATAAGAGAGGATGGTGTGATTGATGAAGAAGGTTGTGGGGGTAGAGGTGATGAAATGTCATCTGGAACTTGAGTGTTGACTCGGGTGGATAATGTATTAGTAGGCACTGAAGAGGGGGTAGTAGTTGCAGTGTTCAGAGTTATGGTCAAAGGAGAGCCAGGGGTTGGGGAACTAGGAGAGTGTTGATGAGGCTATTTGATGAAGGGGCAAGCCTCATTATGCCCTAACAAGGGTATAACATCTTCATTATTGGCCATGGTAAGTCTTGAGTATATTGGGGAGAGAAACAGTCCAACCCTCAGGGTCCCCTTGAGGGGTAAGGGAAATGGGAATACCGTGCCCATGACTCCTTCAGGCCTCAGTCGGTCTCCCAAGCCCCCCCCCCCCCCCTGCCAACAATGAGTAAGGGATAGGGGGATCTACCAATTAATTTAATTATGCTTGACAGATATCACTGACATGTTTGAATGCATAGGAATCTTTAATATGAACATTTTAATTTTCTAATTTTCATGTACGTTTCCTGTGCTTTGGGTACAATTTTTCAGCTATAATTTCTTGAAAAGTAAGTCTGGTACAAAATACAAGTGGCAGAAACTGTTCTTCAAATAAAAATTCTTTCCATTTATCTGAAAATGATATACCAAGGATGATAATAATACAAAGATTGCTGAAAACATTTTATGTGCTTACAAAAAAATTAATATACAATGAAAAAAAAATAATAATAATAAAATAAAATAAAATAAAATACTACTCGTAAGTACAATCCTCACATAACCATTGAAAATTAACATGACATTACGATTAACAAGCACACTTTTCCCATCACGATTCCTTTGGTTAATGCGAATCCTGTGAACCAACCCATAATGAAATCCACAGACCCATTAATACATGGCAGACACCTTTATATCCAGATCTGAAGCACATTTACCAACTCTAGCATGGTAACAATCTGTAAGGCACTAAATGGTGTGACAATTTCCTAAAAGTCATTACTTATCAAAAAATATGTTTTAATATAGAAAAGTTGCAGTATATATTGCATAAGAAGGTTTTTAATCTAAAAATAAAACCAATCTTTTTTCCTTTATACCGCAAGTCATAAAATGGAATTCTTGCAAATCTATCTCTCTCTCTATCTCTCCAAAATCAAAGTATTGCTGAATCAAAGAACAACAACAACAATCAGTGCCAAACAATAGAACCTATATTATTAAGAGCTGACTCAACTCCGCCATCATTTTTGGTATTAAATAACCCTTCTGATAGAGGGATAAGCTATAGGAACATATTTTTTGTATGGGAGCCTCCATATTCTGTACTCAATACACTTGCATCATAATTGCTATGATACAAATATCAACAAGGAGCATATTACCATATATGCAACACCAATAGCAAAAAATTCACTCAGCATATATCAAATAAATGCTAGTAAAAGTTCAACACATTTAAGTATTTTCCCAAAATGAAAGAAAGAAAGCAATAAATTTGTAATTATAAGCGAAAGATAACTCTTGCATATCAACAAACATATGCAGGATTAACATATTACAGACGTGCAAAAAGAAAGAAACAAATAAGCAGACTAATAATACCAGAAGTCTTCAGTATCAACATAAAATATTTCTCCAGCTATCAATCCTTAAGAATAAGTGTAATCACTGAGGCATAGATGATTTAATTTAATAAAAAAAATATGATAAACTAACTGAAAAAAGCAATGAAACAAAGTTATAAATAACAGCATGTTAAAAGTACAAACAATCAACATCAATAATAATAAAATCTATGATAAAGTAAAAACATTATCAATGTCTGCAAAATGTTTAACACAAATACTTGGTAATCCTAATCATAATTAAAGTTGTGGTACAAAAATATAAATCAATAACTGTAGTCATAATAATAGTAATCAATGTAATGATACTGAATAATAATGACGATGTGAATAATGATGTAAATAATATGGAAGAAAACCCCCCAAAAACAGCCATATGGAAGAAAACCCCCAAGAAACAGCCACAGAAATTTCACTCCTTAAAAATCTATGAAAATCCACTTCACCAAGACAGAAAAAAGCAGGAAAAGGGAAGAGAAGAATAGATCGGCGGAGGAAAAAAGTGTCATCTCTTGTAAGGTCTTCCACTTCATTTCACAATGAACAATTTCAAAGGCTGGACAATAATCATATAAATCATGAAACTATTGATCACCATAACTATTAGACGACAAATAGAAAAACTAGTACTCATAATGGCCATAATAATAACAATGACAACCTTTAATAACATCACTAAGCACACACACACAAAAAATAAGGAGTGACATTGAACAACCTTGCAAATCATGGATACAGAAAAGAAATCACAGGTCTTCCACTCCTCGTGTGCTAAATGTAAAATGTCAAGCACACAAGAATATTTGGTCCTTGGTGTCCCAGTGAAAAGCAGTCAAAAAAAGCAGTATAACATATGTTTTGTTATTAGCTCTACGGTACTCTCTATTCCATCAATTGCCGTTTTTCAATCTGTGCTGTTTTCTAACTACGATGCTGAGGATAACTGTTACTATATTATCTAAAAAGCCGGCTGATTTGATGCATTAAGGATATACAGAGGACAAGGGGGGGAGGAGGGAGAGGGAAATATTGAAGGAGGAACTGGATACTGAAGAGAAGAAGAGGAAAGAGTGGAGCGGAAAGGAGAGGAGAAAGGAGAAGAGTGCGAGAAATAGGCAAAATTGATGAACAGTGGATTATGGAAGTGGTTCAGCATCTTTGGGTATCCTCCCCTTCGTTTAGGGAAGAATAAACACCATCCCATTTACATCACACCCTAACAATACTATATGTAACAATGATAACCATATTACAACAAAGAGAGAGAAATTAACATCAGCTCTGACCTTACATCTTAACCTTTGCTGACATATTTTTGGTAAGTTAATATCAATCTTACTGGCACTGCATCTGAATTTTTTGTGCAATAATGGATACATACAAAAATACAGTACCGTAAAGACACTCGCCAACTGCAATATTCAACCATAAACTCAGTGTTCCTAATGTATAATTTTAAATATGAAGATCTCTGGAGATCTAGCATAAAAAAGAAAATGGAAGGATTGTTTGAGAAAATCAGCTTTGCTCTGTGTAATTCTATAAAGGGAAAATGTACAAAAATCACTGATGCTTAATCACAATTCCTGATTTCTTTGAACCCTTCAGTCTTCCTTTTATCTTATATATTTCCATTTTTTTTATCAAAAGACTATCTTTTTTTGGTTATTTGTAAATAGATGCTTTATTTTTTATTTTTCCTTTTTTTTTTTACTTTCTAAAACTAAACATTTATCACAAAGAAGTAAGCACCTTAGGGACTTTATAAATCATATATTACTTTTTTGTCAGACACACTTGAAATTGTTTTATGCTGCATAAATATGGAAAAGGAAAACTGACTACAAATAAAAATGATAGCAACAATAATTCCAACAATAAAAAAAACAACAACCATAATCATAATAATAACAAAAAAATGGATATTACTTTTCTCTTGCTGCAAAAACATTTTAACTTATTTCTTTCACACAAAAAATAAGAACAGATCAAAAGGAAAAAGAAAAAGAAAATAAATATCTAATAAAAAAATCAAAAGCAGCATTTTGACAGCTCCTGTTAAGCAAAGTTACAAAGGCAACTGTAAATCCACCATGCTGTGGCTAGTACTCAGTGTGCCACTCTGGGGCTTCTGCTTTCTCCCGAGCACTTACATCTTCATACAGGGTCGGTCCTGGAAGTGTATTAAAACTGGCTTATAGGTTATGCTTCATCATCATAAAAAATTGAGCCAGAATATTTATGTAAAAAAAAAAAAAAAAAAAAAGTTGCACACACACAAAATAGATAATTCTATTGTACAAGAGAAAAAAAATTATGAGCCAAGGCCAAAGGTGAACCTTTAAAGCTTTAAAGCTTTCAGAGGATATGATACAAAACTCAATAAAATTACTATCCAGTGAATGATAGATAACTGTTGTATTAATTGGGAGGAATACTGAAAAATACCTATAATTCATACTGGTCTTCTGAAAATGGATACTGAAGTCAAAAACAATCAAGATTCCAATATGCAAAAATATTATGATAAAGAAGAGGAAAACAATGTAAATAAAACTGTCAATAATTACAGACCATATCAATAATAATAATGATAATAACAATAAAAAGGATGATGACAATATTAACAATAATAAAAATAACATCAAAAATCATAAAGCTCATACCAAATAAAAGAGAAAAAGCCGATACTTACGGAGATCAAGGTTACCAAACCTCTGCAGCAAATCGTCCAGATTGTCATCGGTCTCCTGGGGGAATGCCTGGCCGCAGTAACCACCCATCTGGTGGACGTAATCCATTAACCTACCCCAGTGGCTAAGGAAAACGGGGAGAAAATGTAAGGTTTTTGGACATCGCTCTTTAGGTTTTGCTTGCGTCATTTTCAGTAGATTCTTTGAAAAAGCTTGAAATTACATACAAAAGTAATGGTTCTATGGTATGAATCCATTCTAGCCTGCCAACAGTATCAAAAAAAGTTAAAATAAAAAGATGGAATAATAAAATTGATATTACAATCTTAATTGACAGCAAATTAAGAATAACATGATGGGAAGACAAGACAAGACAAGACAGACAAAAACAAGCCAAGTAAATTGCAATATCCAACAATAACAACAATAACATCAGTTACAACGATAAAAACTCACTCATCGAGGATAAGGATCTCTGGACATCCCACCAGGATCAACAGTGCCTTAGCTCTTGTCACAGCCACATTGAACCTCTATGGGAAAAAAAAAAAGAGAAAGTAATAAATAAACATCAATATAATTTCTAGCATCTCATAAAATAGTTGAAGTGTCAGACACTATGAAAGCACATGGGGGGAAAAAAAATAATAATAATAAACAAAAAAATATATACAAACAGGAAGAGAATGAAAGAAAGAAAGGGAGAGAAGGGAGGGAGGGAAGGGGGGAGGGGGGGAGGGAGAGAGGGGAGAGAGGGAAGGGGGGAGGGGGGGAGAGGGAGAGAGGGAGGGAGGGAGGGAGGGAGAGAGAGAGGGAAGGAGGGAAGGAGGGAGGGAGGGAGGGAGGGAGAGGAAGAGGAGAGAGAGAGAGAGAGAGAGAGAGAGAGAGAGAGAGAGAGAGAGAGAGAGAGAGAGAGAGAGAGAGAGAGAATAAACAACATAAAAGCTTTGTACCTTGCAATTCCTCAAGAACCCAAGCCTGAAAATCTGGTCAGTTGCCAGCTGGTCGGCTGAGGCTCGCACTGTGGATATGATAATGACCCTCCGCTCGTCACCTTGGAATTCTTCTGGGGAACCAACTTTGATTTCATGTGCACCGTTCACCTTCCTCAGCTGTGTCCTGATCTGTGTGTTAAAATAAATATAAAAAGAAATAGATAATGATTAATTCATGTTAATAACCATGGTACAGTGAAGAAGAAGAAGAAAGAAAAATATAACAATTTAGCAACCAATAAAATTCAAAACAGTGAAATGAGAGTAAGCAAAGCAAATAATAAATGAAAATGAAAGAAGGGAAAAAGGAAAGAAGAAAAGAAAGAAAGAAAAGAGAAAAGAAAAAAGAAAAAAAGAAAGAAAGAAAGAAAGACGAAGAAGAAAAAGAAGAAGAAGAAGAAGAAGAAGAAGAAGAAACTTGGAACATGCATACCTTTTCAACTTGCCGTCTGTATGGGGTGATTATCCCTATTTCTCGGCCAAGAACCTTAGGTTTCCGTGATCCCAAAAGCTTCTTTACATAATCGATCACATAGGTAACCTTTGGAAAAGAAGAAGAAAAAAACTTGGTCTTATATCCTAAGGTGATTTATAAACCAATGATACTAAATATAAACAGATTTGATACTGATATCTAAACAGATAAATATGTACACAACTATTAGTATAACAGTAGTAATGAACGATCATAGAAATAATAATAACATGATTACTTGAGATACTAATGTTATTAGCACTTCATATCTATAAATATTTGTTGTAATTACAATGAGATCCAAAGAGAATTTGATTTTGCTGTTGCTGTTTTATTTGAACAAAAATGTTGTTCAACTGTTACTAGAGATTAATACTAAAATGTATACAAGGCTTAGAAATAAGTCAAGGAGGAGGAGGAATAATAATAAAAATAATAATAATAATAATAATAATAATAATAAAAAATAATAATAACAACAATAATTATTCTAATGATCACAATAATAACAATAACAGAACTAATAAAATGATAACAAAACTAACAACACACATGCATGCACGCAATAATGCACGCACATAATATAATGCACAATTTCCAAATCCATACTCTTGCAACAAAATTCACTTTACCTCAAGTGGATTGAAGTAACTTGGTGAATTTCCTTCTCGCTCATCTTTTCCTTTGACACCATGGAAGATGACTGGGAAGTCCTTCTTGGGCAAGTATTCCCATTTACAGAAAGCTGTTACATACACTGGATCTGCACAAACCTGCCAATGAATGTAATCCTTCTTAAGGCTTATCCTAAACCAATGTACAGATAAATTCAATCTTTATTAATAAATCATACCACCTGCAAAATCTTCTAGGGAACTTTAGGAATAAAGCTATTGTATGATGGTTTATTTAAAAAAGGTAAATGTTACCGAGGGTATCAGTTAATCTCCCCAACACCATCACGGACTTTCATCTATCATGCTCATAAAAATAAATCTAAGACAAGATGTGAATAAAACACCTTGACTCTTGGGCGTACATAGGAGATGACCACGAGCAATACTGTTTCAATTCCATTCACAATGTCATCCCTCTGAACTGGCACCAATGTATATATGAATGTATCATTGATGGTGTCTTTCTTTTTTTATGTCTCAAAGGTGAGGAACTGTAGTCTTGTCAAAGCTTTGAGCTTGACTGTAGGTCACAATAACATTTTCACCTTTGTAATTGTATATAATTTTTTTAACAGGATCATGCAATAATGTGAGTAGTACATGAAAAGCTCTGAATTCATAATCAATGTATGCTTATCTGTTACAAATCTATCAGAGAAGAAATGTTAAAAAAAGGACCAAACCTGGAGTTCAGAATCATAGAACATCTCATTAGGTTCCTTGAGAATAGAAGCATGGGAGCGGTAATTGTTGAGCAGTTTGGTCACAACCTGCCTGTTGTAGTGGCCGGTGCTATCCCTGTACATGGGCATCTGCATCAGCCTTTCCAGATAGGACTTATCTGTAAAAGATATAAAGGCATAACCCAATACAATATCTAAACACCAAATTTACCAACAATTTATGGGAGGGGCGGGAAGGGGAGGAGGACAACTATTCAATAAAACACATTTGCTCCAGTGTTCCCTTAACCCAATGGTGACGGGTGAAGAGAGAAAGAAAGAAAGAAAGAAGAAAAGAAGAAAGAAAGAAAGAAGAAGAAAAGAAGAAGAAGAAAGAAGAAGAAAAGAAGAAGAATAATGAGAAGAAGAAGAGGAAGAGGAAGAAGAAGAAGAAGAAGAAGAAGAAGAAGAAGAAGAAGAAGAAGAAGAAGAAGAAGAAGAAGAAGAAGAAGAAGAAGAAGAAGAAGAAGAAAAAAAAAAAAAAAAAAAAAAAAAAAAACACACACAAACAAACAAACTGTACGCTCTGGGGAACCATGGCAGTGCACAGATTTTGAGCGCGGGACTTCCGTACATCAGGCAGAATCACCGACTCGCCATGCTTTGGCGCACACCACTTTTGGAGCGATTTGTTTTCACCCCTATCGGCATCACCCGTCGTGAAGGGGTTAAAGAAATGTCACTCATACCTAGGCCATTCCCACGGAAGAGACTCTCCTCGCCTGTGAAGCACTGGGTGTTCCTAATCACAGGACCTAATTGGTGAGGGTCCCCAGTCAATACCACCTGAGCTTCCTTCTCTACAATTCCTGCCAGTGCTGACATGGCTTCAGGCTCCATGGCATGGCCACACTCATCTAGAAACACATGAGTTATGTGACCTTGAGGGAGGGAAGCTCCTGCTATCCTGAAATGACAAGCATATAATGATAAGTTATAAAACTGCATACAGACTGAAGACAATCCTATGGCATCCCTATAATTAGCATAAGATCAATGTCTTTCTTCAAAAGAACAATGAAATCAAATAGCATTCCTATTTTATCTTAACAGCCACATACAGTATATTTTGCTTTCTAAGAATTACAAGAACATATATTAAAAAAGGAAATGTCTTTTAAAAATATAAAAAGGAAACAGATATAACTCGCATAACCAGTTTTCAGACTTTATGATTACACTAAAAAAGGTGTTTAATCATAATTTTTAAAGTTATGTTGATATTATGTTTATGTTAATTACTATGAATTTAAAATTTTTAACAGATTACCATACTTGATATACTACTTTACTAAATTCTATAAAAGAAAAAAGTACAACAAAATTACAATGATCTATGAATTCACGTACAGTAATAATACAAAAAAAAAAAAAAAAAAAAAAAAAAAAAAAAAACTATCTTACTTCCCAGCCGTCACCAATGTACAAATTATAATCTTGTACACCATGAGTTTCTCATCCGATGGTGTGTAAATTTTGCCCTCTTGTATGTTGGACATATCCCTTAAATTTCCCGGAATGGTTGATCTGTAGTGTGCAAAATAGATTATTATGGAGATGCATTCACAGGAAATGTGTAACTGAAAACAATACTTTTTAAGAAGAAAAACATAAAACAAAATAATGTATACAGCAAGAAAGTACACAATCATATCCATTGATACAGTACACACAAGGACACTTCTATACCACACACTTCCATTCACACAACCAGCAGATGGGGAGGGGTCTTACATCATCCTTGATTCTGCATGCAAACGCAACATGTGATGTTTTGAGATGTGTTCCAGGAGACGCACTGCAATAATATCTGATGCAGAATTTGATGGTGCACATGCCACTATGCGGCTATTGGGTTGCAACTTGTAAATCTGGAAAAAAAAAATAAAATAAAAATAAATAAATAAATATATAAATTGTGGCTGTAAATTTATTGATGAAATAATATCCAAAAAATTACAATGAAAAAAAAAAAAAAAAATATATATATATATATATATTATCATTACTTTTAGATTTTATGGAAGAAATTATATTTCATCTTCTGACACCCCACAAATAGTAAAAAGAACAGACTATGAGAAATAACAATCTCATAAAGAAACCCTTTCAATCTGGATGACATGACCATCACATGAGAAAAAAATCTGGCTTGAGGGTGGGTGATGTGATTTAGACTCATTTGGTGATTTTGCATTATTCCCATTGATGTATGAGTATGGAATGTAATGTTAGTGAACCAAGATTAGAAGAGTGCTGGCTCCATGGAGGGCATCATTTTCATGCTCAGCATCATATTCCTGGTACTGAGGCCGGTGACACAGGCTATATTACAGAAAACTGAATATCTCACACTCAATCACTCAAACAAAAAAATTGAGTTCTAGACTATCTAGGGAGATGATATGGAGTCTGTGCAAAGATAACAGTCTATTAGCATCCGAAAATCAAACTAAACAAAAAAAGCTAAAAATGCTTCTGTGTAAAAAGAAAAAATAACATTGCAAATAGGAGGCTTAGAGTCTTATCGCAGTACAAACATGTTTCTGTGTGCCTGCTCATGTAAGCCTGATATCCAGATTTTTGGTTATGTGATTACCATGATGCAACCTGATTCAAAGGGTTAATAAACAAATAAATAATGACAGTGTTGTAGTCTTCATTAGTGTACCTGCTTGATAGCCTCAACAATGGTAACAGTCTTCCCTGTGCCTGGGGGACCAAACACAATGTAAGGGGCAGGCTTTGAGGTCCCTGCAACAATGTTACGCACAGCTTCCATTTGTTCAGCATTGGTTTCCAGTCTGCGGTTAAATGGCCTGTAGAGAGACATTTTCTTTGCATTAGTCTGGTGAATTTCCATCACAAAGACTTAATAAGTAGAATCATTATTTCTTCTGCATTGAATGTAGTAATAATAATCACATGACCAACAGGATTTTGGAACAACATAGCTTGAAATGTGAAAATTTACATAAGTGTGAAGAGCAATTATGAAAAGATGAAAAAAAAAAAACATTAAAAAGGTAACCCTTGCACCTATCTCTTTTGAGAATGAAGCACTCAACCTAATTGATAACCAAAATTATTTCCAAGTACTTTTCAAATAACAACAAAAATGAAGCAGTACATCTACCATTTCATCCTTTCCCAATGCCAAAAAACCTGAAACACTCACAAAATGTTCTGGGTGGAAGCTACATTTAAGGCTGGGTTGTTGGGGAAGGTCAAGTGTCTGAGAGACAGTGACTGTGTCAGAGTTATGGCTCTGTGGCACACTCTCAGTGGATAGCGACTGAAGGTGAATTCCACATTGACTTTCATATTGTTCACGAAGGTGCGCATGAATCTGGAAATTGAAAGGTTCAAAATATTAACAAAAGTGAGGGAAATTGTATGGATTGAAGTGATAAGTGAACAGAAACAGAAATGTACTAATACTACTACTATAAGTGAAAGAGATATAGATAAAGGATGA